TGTCCTAAAGCGGATTGAAGAATTCGGACTACGAATTAATAAGGACAAATGACAAATAGCGAAATGTAGTGTCATCTTGTTGGGGCATAAAGTTGGAAATGGAGAAATAAAACCGTTGCCGGAGAAAATCCTAGCCATAAAGAACATCGCAGTACCTAATTCCAAAAGGAAGCTGAGACGGTTTCTTGGATGGGCGGCGTTCTACAGTCGATTCGTCAAGAAGTTTAACGAAGAAGCAGCACCCCTCTATAAGTTGTTAAGCGACGCTAAGTTTACGTGGACAGAGACTGTCCAGAAAAAGTTCGACCGTATCAAAAACCTATTGGACGACCGCCTGATAACACGCTACGATTACCTGAACCTGAAAAACTGTTTACAGTGGCAACAGAATCGAGTGACCGTGGAATAGGCGCCGTCTTAAGTCAATCTAACAGTGTGATAGAATATGTGAGTCGCGTTCTCACACCCTCTGAGCAGAAGTATTCAACGATCGAAAAAGAGTGTTTAGAAATAGAAAAATGATGGCTATACCTGCTTGGTAGACGGTTCCACGTCGAGACTGATCATAAATCCTTGTAGTGGCTGAAAACAGCAAAAGACCCCAGTGGTAAGTTGGCGCTATGGATGATACGTCTGCAGGAGTACGACTTCAGTATCGGCCATGTTCCAGGAAGAGAAACTTTAGTGGCGGACTACTTATCGAGGCCGGAGATGGATGCTGAGCTCCCAGCGACAGCATACGCAGTGAATACCTTTGACGGAGACCCACTAGAACTTGTCCGGCAGCAAAGGGCTGACCCAAACGTTCGAGAGGTGATCAGAGTGATAAAAGAAGGGGCAGATATTGACGAACGGAAGATGAACAATCAGGTATTAATGCTGCTTCGACAAAAGGAGAGACTGAGGATCAGCACATATGGAGCCCTGATCTGGCGAGATGATGCTGAAAATCGGGTGGCAGTGATCCCGAAGAACTTGCGGCATAAGATGATACAGGAGTGTCACCAGGTAGCTGATACAGATATCACACGAACGACTGATCTAGTAAGACAAACTGCATATTAGCCAGGCATGAGAGACGATGTGTTGCAATATGTGTTGACTTGCCAGCGGTACCTACGAATGAAAAGTAATCGATACATCAGAGTCAGTTCTCGTAACTGTAGTTGGTGATCTATGGTCAGTGGATGTGATGGGACCGTTCCCGCAGACGGCCAGCGGCAATCAATACCTGATGGTGATGACAGAACATGCCACACGGTGGGTAGACGCCGTACCGATTCCAGATCAGCGGGCAAAAACAGTGAAGGAAGTAGTCATCCGACACATTGTGGCATGTCACGGAATACCGAAAACAATATTAACTGATCAGGGTCCCTGTTTTGAAAGTGACGAGTTTAAGTCCCGTCTGGAATAGTTCGGTATCAAGAGAATACAAACTACACCATAACATCCACAGACTAACGGGCTTATAGAAAGAAGCAACCGGACGTTAAAGGAATGGTTAGCCTCTAAAGGAGGGAATCGGGAGAAGAATTACCACTAATCTTGCTGGCGCATCGTGTCTTAATACAAGGAACAACCAAGAAATTACCTTTCCTGCTTATGTACGGGAGACATCCGCGACTTCCAATGCACAATAAGACATGACCGCAACATCAGAAGTGGATGGCAACAAGGTTAAAGAAGGAGTAGGAGGGAGGCAGTCAACAATATAAAGAAGAAACAGATGTCGCACACAGCGAAAGAACGGAAAGGCACCTTAGCATGGGGACCAGGATCGGGGAAGCTGTTCCTGAAATGGGAAGGACGGAACATTGTTATTGAGAGACGTGGCTCTGTTTACACGATACGGAGAGGGGACAACCGAAAACGCTTGAATGTTTGTCAACTGCAGAGATGGTTTCAAGGGCAGAATGAGTGCGAATCGCAAACGGTAATCAAGAAAACGTGGCCACAGCGATCAGAAAGAATGCGAAAACAACTTATTAAAAGGGGGGACGAGTGTGGTGTACGCTACGTATGTTCACATAAGTAGTATATGATATCAAATGGAAATCAAACGTCTGACAGCAAAAGATCGAGAAGGAAAGAGTGAAACAGAAGGCGATTTGTAGGTAACGTAAAGTGAACTGAAGTCTGAACAGTCTAAATGAAAGAACACTGAAATCTGAAACAAATAAGGATTAGTTTGCAAATGATGATTCACGGGAAGGTTTTGTAAATATGCCTAACAACTCTGTAATATTCGCTTAAATATATTGTTGATGTCCTCACCTGGGTTTTCGTGCACAACAGTAGTTATGTCATAACTAACCAATCAGATTGTGGTTTAAGCTCCCACCACGTGATGTGATCTGACGTGTCTGTAAACCTTCTTTGTTGTAAATGACTTACAAATTGATTGACATTATTATCTTATTATATTGATGTGACTCATAACTTTACTCATTTCCATAAGACACGCTATATTTGCTCGTCTTATTTGATAATTGTAATTTCCTTATTTATTGTACTAATGTAATTGTTTTTTATGTTTAGAAACAGATAAAGTTTAAAACCAAGTTGACCTTATTCTTACTATCGCTTTACCATAGACTCTGTGCTCGCCAGTATTGCGTTTACTGTTCTAGAATTACATTTGTAGGACAAATTAAATCCTACAAGATATTTGCATTCTTCATTGTGGTCGAGAGTATGGTTCCATCATAGCAGTGTGAAGTTTCTTTGGATATTTTCTACAGCTACCTTGTCTACGACATTTATTTTTGAAAAGATGGTTGATCGATATTCAACTGAGGGCCTAATACACATTCTGAAGAGTGTAAGCTTAGCATAACTTGTCAAGAAGTTCTTATTCCTGAATCTTAACAGCCGTCTAGATTTAGAGATAACAGAAGAAGCACGTTCTTCAAACTTTGGGCTATCAAAGTAATCAATCATGCGCTGATATAAGTGTCTGAACTCTACATTTTTGTAAGTAGAGTGGTGTATCATTACTATTAGCTGTCGAAATTTTTTGTATACAGAAGTTTCCGAATCAAAACTCGATACATTCCACCTTAACAACCCAGCTGGTAAGAGTGGTTCCCAAGTTTAGAAAAGGTCATAACAACTGGAGCTTTCACCCGGTATACTCTCCCCCAGTTAAAACCATTCCATATAAATATAACCATAGCTACAAGTTGTGTCACCAAGGCTATACTAAAAACAGTGGCACACAGCACTGCCAGCCTACTGAAAATCTTTTTAGTATACTTCCCCTTATATTACCTCTGGCGTGACATACAAGTTTAGAGTAGGAACATTGAATATCTGCCATTACTGCTCTGTAATCACCTTGTGGTCTCCAAATAAACCATCTCTTCGTGAACCAAGTAGAGAGGGATGGTCCAAGGACGTTGCGAAAGACGAAATAATACATGAGCATGTAAATTGTCAAACTCACGCTTAGAGAAAAATAAATTGTCCGATGCAAGCTGGCGAGGTTTTGCTGTTACTGGGGGTCCGTGGGTGACGATGTTGCTCACCACAAAATAATCATCCATGAAATCTCCTCAGTTTCGTTAACTGTGGGGGTTTATCAAATAAAACATAAAATGAATAATCATGCAAAAAATACATCGGTGATTCGGTTCACATCTGTTTGTGCTTTGAGACGAAGTATCGATTAACTGTAGCCTACGTGACTCGACTAGTAATTCCTGGTACTGTAGGAAATCTTGTCCAGACAATGTGCATTGGTGGTCTGGACAAGAGTCGTTTACTGTTTAAGTATATCTATGATTGTTGTTAAAGCCTCTTGATCGAAAATACGAGCTGAACTAATGGCACTACACTTGTTGCATCAGACCAGCTGAGTGGACTGTGTCACTCAGTGAATTCTTCATCAGGGTGAGAAGTTTAAAGGCTCTGCCCTGCATAATCACTTCGGTGAGTCATTCTATACATAACCGCGATGAGGCTGGTCCCTAACAATGTTTATACACACTATGTAATAGATCGGTACACATTTTGTGAAAACCATCTCTTACACCTAACACACTCTACTCCATCTTCAAAAGGGAATGAGAAAAATACTCTGCGCTTAGATAACTTTGGATAACTGTCTAAACCGGAATGATGTGGATTAAACGGGATCTTAACAGTATAGAGTGCGAATTTGCAAGTTTGTGAATTTGTAGTCAAGACGATAAGCTGTACATGAGAATCTGACCAAATTTCAAAGTCGGGTGAATGGAAACAGACTTATTTATAACATTTCAAAGTACAAAGTAGTTCATATGAGACATATTGCGGACTGTACATACAACTTTGGTAACTACCCTCTGAAGATATCTTAAGTTAATAAGATCTAGTAGTCCTGATACTCTGTGACCGAAATTCTTACTCCAACGGTAACAAAAAGGCCGTTCGGCTTAACCTTGCATCAGTATCGATAAAGCACATCTCCAGTCACTTTGATAATGGAATGTTCCACCTAGTCTTTAAAAGCTGTAATCCGCCTGATATACAGTGTGGAAATGTAGTGTGACCTGAATACACTGAATAGTATCTAAATGCGAACAACGACATGGGTTCCAGGACTCAAGTTCAAATCTTATTAAGAGCACCTCCCGTCACTGGATCTTCACCCTTTAGAATATAGACGTCTCAGAGGTAACCTTAAAATGACTCATAGCACTTTAAACAACCCAGAACATCCCTTAAATTTCCTATTTAGGCTCAGTCCCAATGTATAGCTTAGGGGGAATGCCAAGAAACTAGAGGCCCGAAATTGCAAAATGTACTACAGGTACACCTTACGCTCTTATCAGTGGTCACATTCTGGGATTCGTTACAAATTGAGGTGATAAGAGGGACTTCCCTGGAGTTCTTCTAGATGAAAGGTGACATTTTCTCAAGGATTCAGGGCTGCATTTCATCATAATTTATTAAAATTCCTCTCTTCATTATAACGGTTAAGTAGCCTTGAGAAAGGCCGCGCTTTGTTTGTGCCTGTCGATGTCGGTTAACGGTAGCAGGACCGGCAGATTTAAGCATTTTGCATTTAAAGGTTCAAAATCTCCAAGCTTTCTAGATTTCCTGAATCTCAAGCTTCTGTGATTTCTGATCGTTGTTTATTGCATTCCTTACTGATTGTAAGTACATTGTGTGCACTCATTGGATTGTTGGCTTACCTCGTCTGTTTTCTTTTTCAGTTCTTTCCACTCACTCTACTGTACACGCTCCTCTAGTACACGAGGTACCTTCTGGATAGACGTGAACCGCTACATAAGAATGGAAGGTTGGAATTTTGTTGTTAACGACACAATGTTATAGGAGCTAAAAACCCTCGGAGGGCTAGTTCGGTTAAAGAGTCTAAATTAGCTCTTCTGGCAAAGATGCGTGAGGCAAAAGAGAAAGGCGAACGTCTTCGTATAGTGAGTGAAAATACTTTAAATGTCCTCTTAGGAAAAAGATGAGCAACCAGTATACGAAACAGTTGATGAAGCAGAGTATGCTGAGTTGGTTAGGAAACGTTTGGAAGATGACTGGATCGTTGACGATGGTTAGTCCTTTTTTGACAGATTAATATGGAAATTAATCTAAAACTGGGTTCACCTAACCTAATCCTATCAATTTTTCTGCATATTTCTAGAGGTTTTGACCGGATTTAGCCTCATTCACTTTAGACCACACTTGTTTCTTTCAGACGTTATTTTCCCAATGATAATTTTGATGGTAAATTTAGCATATCTTTCTCTGTTTATGAAGTGGGTACTACTTGCATAAGCTGTCATGAAAAGTAATACATGCACGTTTACACTTAAGCTTAATAAACGCAAACATTTTCACCCCCTTGAAAACAGTCACGAAAGACAAATATCACGAGTTTTAGGCAATTGTGGTTCGGGTATGCCATCGGAATATATTTTAACTGGTATAAATATTAGTTCACATACTTTGGTTTTAGCCGCATGTTTTGTGTTAGCGATAACAGCACAAACTTATTTTTGAAGTGGATGTATTTGAGTTTGGTCTTTCACAACCACTATTTACAATACAGATTCTTAGACCTTTAGTTAGTATGGTTTTCCAAAACAACCTGTTTTTCTAGCTTTTGAGGTTGAAATGATTAACAGCAACCATCTTTTTATGCATCATCATGTGTGCTGTATGGGATTTATAATCCTCGTTTAAAGTAGCCAATGCATAAGTTAATTACTTTATAGTGTATTTATTTTTAGTTCAACTTTCAAAAGTCGTGTATTCTAGTCAGGAAACCTCCACTCCATATCTTAGGAACACAGACGATATTCTTCATTTTTGTGAATGACTCATCATAGTATATAGATGTTTCCAACTGTTGAGAATCATAACAGCGTTTGCTAATACTAAGGTGTCTTTGTAGGTGACATTGAAAGCTAGGGTATAACTAGTATTATCTTAAAATTGGTCGTTTAGAATCGATCAAAATGAGAGCTCTCGCTAAAAGGCTATGAGCAACCGAACACTTTTGTCCATTTGTTGTTAGGTTTTTCAACGGGGGAGTTTCTAACTCGATACTAGTGTTTTTGGCGATTCAAACACCTAGTGTAAAGTCAGTAAATCAACTTCGATTTTCCATATTTTGTTGGTACGTAGAAGGTGGAGATTACGCGGAAGATGGGCGGGAAATATTTGACGATAACGATGAAGATGAAGAACCAAGTGATTTAGGACCGAAAGCTAAGAGTAAGGTCTCATCTCAGTCAGCAGCAAAGAAGAAGCGGCTTAATCCTGATATCCGGGCTAGTGATTCAGCTCCACTGCGTCCTTCTGTTGGTCGTGATATTCGGAGTTTGTTTGCTGCTTCCTCTGGACAAAATTCTAGTAAGAAACGTAAAGTGAGTTTTCTCGTGTAACACGAGTGTAAATATTGGATTTGCTTCATTTCTTTCCACTATTCTTACAGAATTATTTTATTATATTCCATACGAAATTCTTTTAGATGTGTCGTATGCTTCTTTTATTGCTTAATGATTCATAGTACTTTAGTCAATACCGTTATTCAGCTAGCGCAATCGAGATTTCGGCAGTGTTTCTGATTTGTGGCAGATAAATCACATAGTTGCCTCTCCAAATGTTCCCGACTGTCTAAAGTTAACGCAAAAGGACAATAAGGCAGTTAATTTTTTCACTAGATGTCTTTCTGTCAACTTAATTATGGACTTCCTAGGATTGAACAGTCAGTTATGCAGAAGAAGGCCAAAACTGACTAGAAAGCTTCATTAATAATAGCTAAATAATAATATTTACAGCCCATTACTAGAGAGATGTGTGACAACTTAATTTGATGTACGTACGTACGTGACTTCTGACAAATGTACAATTTAATCGTTCAAATCATGATTGAAATATACACTGTTACTTTCTTGCTTTATTTCAAACACGATTACTTCTCACCTAGTCTCAGAGACCAAAATAATCAACTTTCTTGAATTTAAATGACTGTCCGCTATTACGGTTGTTAGATTGCGGGTTTTGCTATTTTCCACTCAGTTATTATGCCCAGTATATTAATACCTATACTCCTATATAATTTTAGAGCTCTTTTCCCGTTTAATGTATTTCCCTATAAATATAATGTTTCCAATGTCACAATCAAAAGATTATATTCGCTTGTTCATTTGTTATTCATTTTATTTTTAATGTTTAGGAAATGAAGGATCTTTCTGTGGATCCGAACCTAGACGATCTGTTGGCAGAATTAGAGTCTTCTGTAACGGAACCAAAACTTCATAACTCTGATGATTTATCACGAAGAAGTCTCTTAGCTTCAAAACGAAACCCTGGAGTTAATCTTAATATGGTAAATACGCCTACTAACTTGAAACATCGTTCACCTGAACGACCACAGCAAGCTAATCATACACCTAGCGGACCTCACCCACGACTTTCTTTGGTGTCCGGAAAGAGTTGCGCCTCACCTACTTCATTTGATCAGCGATCACGTAACCCTTTCTCATGTCGGAAACCTGCAGAAACAGAACAAAAATATGAACCTAGTAAACCACAAATTACTGAAGGTACAATAATCCATAGCTTTACTGATATTTCGTATATAAATAGTTTTTATTTTATAAGCAATTTTGATCTCTCTTGAAGGAGCTCCGAAGCACACCATCGAACAAGCGTCCAAACTTTATTTCCAATCGTTAAGAATTGTACAGACGTATTTTTTTTCCCGTAACGCCTTCCATACTTCCATTGTTCAAATGATGAGATTGCTCGTTCGAAATTGGACAAAACGTTTAATAAAATTGTGGTTTTTCATCTGTTATTATAGTCTCTTTGTCCTGCTTCTTAATAAAATGTGTCAAAAGGCAAGATAAATGAACTGTCCGCATTGCATTGTTCTTTGTTTTACCACGTATTTTTTGCCAATGATTATCTCAACAAATGTATTGATTTTGTTCACATCAGATGTTCGTTGAAATATTATTCACTTTTTATCGACTTATTTTTATTTGAGCACGCCTTAAGTATCTTTAGTTTTTGTAATTATTCACTACTTTCTGTACACATCTTACAACTGTTTGCCAACCTACTTTTTAGTTGATAAGTATAACTTATTGCTCAAATTCTGTGAGACCGTCTATTGTTGAATTTTAACATGTTTCTTTATGTGATATGTAGGTAGTGAATCACCGTTAGGTCTTACCGGATTCCTTTATAGTTACAATGTTTAATTATCCGAAATATGCATTTTTGACTTTACTGACTGTCCGAATATGATCTGCAAGTGAAAACTGCTTCTCCAAGGATGACTAATTATTATTGGTATCTTAAGAGTCTTTACTCAAGTCATTCGAGAAAACCTACTACTTTAACATACTAGGTAGAAACTATAACTCAGCAATTGCATGTTGTTCACTCAGATTGTTGTAAACAGGGCCCTAAAACAAGTGTCATTATTCTTTCAGCTATTTCTATTCCACCGGAAGAGGCAACATCAATGGTTTCTGAAGTGGATGAGACCGACTTTTCGGAAGATTTTGAAATGCAGACAATACCGAAACAAGTCGAAGCTGTCGTTCAGTCACCAAAACCAATAAGTGGATCAATTATACAACCTATAACTAGTGTAACTGCTAACTGGTTGTCTGAAGAAGGTCTAGCTCAAGTTGATGATGCAACTTGGACAGATGAAACTGATCCAGTTTCGTTTCCTATTTCATCAAGTAAAGGGAACATCCTTTACTTTTATTGGTTTGATGCTTATGAGGATTTCAAACAACTACCAGGTATGCTACAGTTTTAAATCAAATAATTTGTTTTGTCATTATAAATACGAATGCCTAATTTTATCTTTATACTTTAAATACATCTCTGCTTTAAGGTTGAATGTAACATCAATCCTACATATGATTAACTTAGATTTACAGAATCGTGTATATATTCAAAAAGTATTTTACGTTTTAATTTTTGGGTAATGTTTGTACTGTATTTGTAATTTGTTCTTGCATCTAATGGAATAGATCACTCGACAAACTTTAACTGAACTAGTATATAATGAATGGCGAAAACGGTACATATAGAGTTTAAAAAGATTTGGAGGCATTGACAAACAACAAAAAGTATGTGATCACATGTTTAATCATCATAACAGTGTGTAAATCAATCAATAGTATGTCTAGAGTATTGACTTCTGGTCACATTGTAGAAAATCTTGCAACTGTGACCTGCTTTAACCGATCTACATTATCATTAATTTCGTTTATGTTTTTTCATTCAGTATCATTTTGAAAGAATGATGTATCTGATTGCTCAGAATTACTCAGCAGCCTCACCAAAGCTATATGGTCACTAAACTTGATCTCTTCAGTTTTGCATCTCCTAGTGTTTCATTATGTTATGGTTGCTTTTTTTGTCTGAGTGACAATCTATACGCTCATGTATCTCTTACTATTTTAGGTATTGTTTACCTATTTGGCAAACTTTATGATCACTCAAAGTCTGGGACTTATACCAGCTGTTGTTTGCGCGTTAAAGACCTTGAACGACGCATATTTTTATTACCACGAACATCAATGGTTAGTTATTTTTTCCTAGTGCGACAAATATTATTTTGTTAATCAACTGTCTACCTACCGCTTATATCATAAGGTAATAGATCAGTTGATTTATTGTGTTAAGTTAGTCGAGCTGTGTCAACCCGGATGCTTCGTTGTTAGAACTTGTACTATAAAGTTAGAAAGCTGTATAACACTTATGTTGGTATATAAATAACTGTTTTGTGATAATTATCTAAAGAATAATCCATACTACTGTTTCTGTTGATGTGTGATAGAAACTATTTTAGTGGCCCGGGGTCGGACTCCAATTTGTACAAACAATTTAATGTTCTATGAAATAAATCTTCCCTTTAATTCTGTATATTATTCTCAGACAAACCCCGTTTGTGCGACGGTGGTAATTAAAAGCCTAATGTTGTTTATTTTGGATGAATTCCATACATCCAACACGTGAACAGACATAAGAATGTGAAGCATAAAAGGGAAATAAAGCAAAGCTGAGAAAGCAAGTAGGCCAACTCCATTTGATGAGACACAACTATTTATAGTCAGAAAAAAGAAGAAAGCTAGACATCATTAGCGAAGTAAATAATGCACATGCTATGAGAAAATAATTCACAGGATCAAAGCACGAGTGAATAATAACTCGAGAATATGTTAGCTAGCTAAAACAGGATATGTAGGCTCGAAACAACTACACACTACAAGGTGCTTACCTAGGGTAATCATCGCCTTTCTTTGTTGGAAGATGAACTTTTAAAAACGTCTTCTCTGTAATTGACTTTAAAGCTCTTCCTGACAGACTGTTCAATAATAAAATACGCTACTCACCGGAAACAGTATCACCCAACTGCAGGTGTTCAGATGTAACTCCTAATACCTCTACTACTTTGGGATCTAAACTGACAGTTGCGTCTCTGTGCCAGTGTGATATGGCAACCTGAACTTATGTAAGTACGTACGAAGTTCTACATTGTAACTGACTGACTGACTATTCAGATGTAATCCTATAAATTGGATCACGGGATAGAAACAACATTCAAGATAACAGACATATTCCACATACTCTCTGCTCTCAGTCAGTCAATTAGTAGATGCCAAAAATTTGGTTGTAAAGCAATCGTTTCAACCATTGTTGTAACTTGGGTTTCTGAGCAGTCTTATCAAGGAAGTTCATCTCCCTACTTGATAAAGTTATCTACTTAACTTCTATGTAAGATAAGGCTCTCAATGCTTTTAATAGACAAATAGTTCTTTCATAATTTGAAATACTATTTTACCCCTGGTTTTCTTGTCGTTTATTTTCAGCCTGAAAATGGTGAGCTTCCTACTGCTAAGGATGTTTACATGGAGTTTAGAGATTTGACTTCACAATATAAAATTGGAAAGTTTAGGTGTAAAGTAAGTATGCTTATTCATATTTATCATTCTTGCTTTTGTGCTTGTAAATAATAAGTATGGATGTGTAAGTGACCCTTTAACTATCTACGTTGATGTCTACCGTTACTATGTTGCACTGTCTTTCAAATGCGTTGGGTTTGTACCCAATTAAAAGATGTTTGCTAATTTTCCAACTCAAGTTTATCTATAATATAACTAGCTTTTTGCATTCAGCTAATATTTTAATCATCAAATGCATGAAGTGGAATAATGTCATATACAGATGCCTTTTTAAATGCCATTTTTGTTGGTATAAAATGCCTGTTTGTTATTTCAAGGCAATTCGTTGTTTTTGGGGGTCTGAAATTTATTTCAAGCTTCATCATTTAGTTAGTTAACAATGACCCACTCATTTTCTGCTCGAATATTTCTCCATCTTATATGTTTTAAAAATGTAACTTAATGTGTGTCTTCTATATTGGCAATTCGAAAGCTATTTATTTGAGGACAAGGAGTCATGCATTGTCCTTAAAACTAATGTTTACTAAAAATTACTCTGTTCGTTGTCGTTTCAAATCCAAGATATTTCTAGCGTATGATGAATAAATGAAACCTCCCTTTTATCTTTAGGAGGATCCATGGCCTCTCAGAAAATTAAGTCATAGAGATTTAGTGCCCCAATGAAGCAAGTTAGCATTGAGATGTTCTTAATGTGATTGGCTACCGAGTAGAATCAAGTAAAATGAATTGACGTTGTTTATTTTCCATTAATTTATCATTCTGCATATTTTGACATTCAAAGTTGGTTGAGTTGACAGTTTGTCTCTTTCTTAGACCACTGAAAAACGCTATGCTTTTGAGTTTGCCGATGTTCCAGAAACAAGTGACTATTTAGAAGTCCGTTATGCTGCATCATATCCAGCTCTGCCAGTAGATCTTCAAGGGAAAACATTCTCTCATGTTTTTGGAACGAACACTTCTTTGTAAGTCTTCTTTTTTTTCAGCCGATTTTCAACTATGACGCACGTACAATCATAACAATAGATAAATATTATAGCTTTCCTTGAATACTTGTTATCTTTCGCCATAAACATTAATTATAATCCTAGTTTTATAAATATCTTGTAGTAAAAGTTTTCTTCATCCCAAATCATCACCTCTCTCTAACGTTGTACCGAATAAATCCTTGAAATTTTAGCATGTAATACAGATTTCATCCACCTTCTGATAAAAGATCGGATTTCGACTAATTGGTTTACATTTACTATAAACAGAATATTCAAATGGGATTATGATCGTAAATATATCATGATATAGTTTGGTATATTGATCTCCCATGTATTGATGGGGACAAAACGTTGGCAAACCTATCTCATGACGAAGTTATTGGTTTCAATCTACCACTGTGTAATCTTCACAAATGGCTTTTTGAAAATCTTATTTAGAAATCGTAACATAGTAATCATTTACAAGTTTCACTTGTATGTGACAGCTAATAATACTATCCAGCTAATTAATTATTCATAGATGAATCTGGATTCTAACCTGACAATCGAAAGTCAGTTGCTTCAACCTCTAAGTTACCACCTATATTTGCAGAACGATTCAACAGAACAAACTGTTAAATGTGAATAGATCAGTTTTTGCTGTAAACAGTTGGTTACGTAAAAAGTCTCAAAGCAGGTAGAATACAGACTTGGAAAATTTGCTCACTGACTGTTATTCATACCTGATAACCCGCCTATTAACCATAAATCAAATAGAATATTTATCATAAAGTAATATAATGGCTTGCTGTATGTTTCGTCTTACCCTCTTTATTCCCTTCTTTAGTCTGGAAAATCTAATACTTGACTTACAGTTACGTGGTCCCTGTTGGTTAGAAATCAAAGATGCGTGTAAGTATTTTTAGATTTTTCTACATCATTGGTATATCTAAGTTTTAAGTTACACATGAATTCTATTTCCTACCCGTAAAAGTGGTAGGCTCTTTAGAAATGTGTTAGCATCTTACAATTAGTTCGAATAAAAAACTTTGTTTCCCAGATACTCTGACTTATCGTCCCTTGGAAGGACCTATATTTTACGTTAACGTGATGTATGATTCATTACAGGAAAGTGTATACTTCATAAATTTCAGCCAGTGGTGTGTAGGATAGTAGTTCTTAATGTATCCTGACAGTGTCAGTTTTGCACGAGTAAAGAGCCGTCGCTAGGTGATTCAGTCACATACATTGCCATAAGACCTGTTACACACACTATGTTTAGAAATCCTATTTCTACGCACTAAAATCTATTGGATCGACTACTTAATTTATACATCTTTAAATATGTCTGTTACCGAATTCGTTTTCTTGGGTTTGCTATTCCTGAGTTCAAGTTTAGTGTTTGAGGATTATAGAAGCTAATATTGTATAGTGTTTGGTTATCACAAGAAGGTCATTGTTCCCTATTATCAGAGATCATAACTGGTGTGATAGAAATCCGTTCAACTTCCAGTGTGTGCCTAATCTCTTCTCCATCCCCTGATAATTGTGATATTATTTTAATTAATTGGACACTTCTTTATGTGTTGAAAATAAGTGGAATGTGCTAATACACAGTACTGAATATAAATAAAGATCTAAATGAACGAAATTGTTGTATGTCATGTTATTCTGTCAAATAAAATATTGACATTTTATTCTAAATATTAATTTCTCCCTGAATACTGACTTCTTACTTGTTCACAGTAAGTCAGGAAACTTTTTTACCTGTTGATGAATGTTATTTGTAGTTTAGAATGTGACTTATTGTCACATTTGTTAAACTTTATGCTGCTTATTTTTTTAGCACAAGTTCAACCTCAGATAAGTTGGTGTCAAATTGATTATGAAGTGACTTGGAGATCAGGAAGTGGTTGTCCTATCACGAAGTTGTCTACAGTTATTGAAAATCAAAAATCATTATCAGACACTACTTCAGACTTGATGAAAGTTCCACCAGCACCACCTCTGTGCTTGGCTGCTATAAATATCAAGTCAGTTACATTGAAACATTCAAGTCATTCTGAGGTAAATATTATTCCTCTAGATCAAGGATATAATTGTTTTCTAGACATGTGATTATTGTCGAATTTTGTGATTAACTAATTTTATTTTGATAATTCTGCTTTACCTGATACTATTCATGATAATAATCCATCAACATTGTAATTCCACTGTCCTACTTCATATACTGAGGAGCGAGAGCCATCAAAATTCTCATAACGCAAAGTGGAAGCACCGAAGTTGATACAGATAAAGTTTTATTCATTCCAAAAAACACAACCACTAAAGAATTCATCTAAAATCAGGTGATCATTTAACCGAATACACTCATGTACATGCATCAAATCATATAACCGAAGAGATACACAAGGTTTTCGTAAACACATATACGAAATACACACAGAATAATGCTAGCGATATAATTGTCACGCTAGGAGAAAGTTCACTCCTTATCATACAGAAAATAGACTAATGTTTTACTGAATAAAATGTCAAAATGTCACATTGGGTACAACACATCGTCACGAATTGCTACTGTGAGCGAGAGAAAAAATCGCTGACTTACTAACTTATCGAAAATACTCATGTACATCTCATCTCATTTCAACCAAGTTGTTCAGTTTTCCAGTTTTTTTTGTGAATAACTTTCTTTTGCTAAATTCAAAGGTTCTTATTCTACAATTTTTTTTATGTTCATCCCATTTTTTTATACGTATCATGGATAGTAAAGTTGATTAGAATTAATAGTTATTACTCAATGTTTCACGTTAAAGAGTATTTTGTTGTTTACGCCTGGGTATACAGTAGTTATACTCTCTGCTTATTATCCAGTTAAATTGAACAGTAACCTTATGTATTGTTTACCATAATCATCACTTTTTATTCAGATATCGATCCTTGTTTTATGTTGTTATTCTAGATAATTTCAATCGGGCTTTTGATCGATAATGCTTATCTTCTTGATAAACCGATAGAAAAGAGCCTTTTTCAAACACATTATTTAGGTAAGACTTTCATTTAAGATTCATATGTATTAACATCACCTCATAACTTATTTTGACTTTCCTGTATTGATACCTACACATTTATCCTGGGACAACCGAGTAAGCAATGCTGTCGTTAGGAAACGAGTATTAGGTAAGGATGTCAAATCAGTAGATGAAGTATTGAAACTTCATCAGTTGAGGTGGTTAGGACATGTGTTACGTATGCCTTACCACCGACTGCCTCGACGAGCTATGTTTTGTGGTGTAGGAGTGGACTGAGTCATGTTGGTAGATGTAGGCTACCTGGTTGGAGTCCGTGAGACGAAAGTCATCAATGGTAAGAGATCTTAAGCGACATGGCTCAAAATCGTTTGGAATGGCGCAGGTGAATCCACTCTTTGTGTTCTCTAAAATTATAACCTGAATTCCTAACCTTATCTCACTGAATTATACCCTAATCTTCTCCATTACTGCTAATACTTCTACTATCGCTACCACTTTTCTATTTGAACTGATAGTTGCGTCTCTGTGCTAATACGGTATAACAACCTGAACTGATGTACATACGTACGAAGTTCTGTGTTGTATCTATCTATCTACCTACACAGTACTTGAGATATATTGACATTTTTGCTGTTGTTAGACAATAATTTATTTGATTTTATTAATCATTCTACCGCCAAAATCTTGGAAATTAGTTTATTATGCTTCAAATCACTGCATGTTTACTGGTAAATTGAAAGTTTTTGCTTCTCACTAAACAAATATTAATAAAATAAGATCGTTAATTAACTGTGCTCAGTTATTGTCACATTCTTTGCTTATTAGATATCCTAAGAGCTAATAGTCAGTCAGTCGCAACGTAGGACTTCGTACGTAAGTACATCAGTTCAAGTCGCCATACCACATCAGCACAGAGATGTAATTGTCAATTCAAATCCAATACTAGAAGAGTTAGTAAGGGTATTAGAAGTAATCGAAGAGGTTAGGATTAGAAGATATGATTCAAGAAGTATGATTCAGTGAGAAAAGTTTAGAAAGTCAAAACTAGAAGTATTGAGGAATTCAGAAGATTAGGATTTGAGAGAACACAAAGAATAAATGCACCGGCGCCATTGCGAACGATTTTGAGCCATGTCATTCAAGGTCTCTAACCATCGATTATTATCATCTCGCGGATTTCAACCAGGTAGTCGACAGTTACCGACATGGCTAAGTCCACTCGTCAATGACTTCATGGATTTCTGCCATGTTTTGGTTTGGCCGCCCTTAACTTTCTTCCAACCTATTCCTACACTACAAAACAAAGCTCGACGAGGCAGTCGGTGGTTAGGCATACGCAACACGTGTCCCAACCACCTCAACTGATGAAGTTTCACTACTTCATCGATTGATCTGCCATTCTTACCTATCACCCGATTCCTAATAACAGCGTTGCTCACTCGTGTGCCCCACGATACTCGAGCAATGCTTCGAAGACACCTATGATCGAAAACCAATAACCTACGAATATCTTCTACTCTCACTGGCCATGTTTCACAGCCATAAAGTAAGACGGAGCGAACCACTGCACAGTACACTCGTCCTTTAGTCAGCAAACGGATATCTCGCCTTCGCCATAAGTGACGCAAGTTGGCAAAAGCCAATCGAGCCTTCTGTATCCGTGCCGAGATTTCGTCAGTCACCAGGCCATCGGCACTGATGAGACTCCCAAGATAAGTGAAGCGGCCTACACGTTGGACTACTTCACTCCCTATCACTAGTTCAGGTGCTGATGAAACCCAATTTTGAAGCAACATTATGCATTTCGAGGGGGAGAACCGCATCCCAAACATGCTTGCATTGTTGCTTAGGGTAGTCAGAAGACTCTCCATTTTGTCAGCTTCTTCACCAAGTAATACTATGTCATCGGCATATTCTAAGTCAATAAGCGAGCCACCTGGTAGAAGGTCTACTCCTGAAAATCCAGACAAGGATAAGGTTATTTCTAGGAGCATGTCTATGATAAAATTAGACAAGAATGGAGAGAGTGGACATACCTGGCGCACACCACTTGAAGTAAAGAATTCCGGTGACAGTTCGCCATAAGCTCTCACTCGACCAGTGGTGTTCGAGTAGAGTGCTTGTATAAGGTTAATGTACTTCTCTGGTACACCTTTTAATGACAGACACTGCCACAGAACCTCACGATCCACTGAGTCAAATGCCGCTTTTAGGTCCAGGAAAACAACTATTGTAGGATACCTAAATGTGTGTCTATGTTCCAGGACCTGTCGTAGTGTGAAAATGTGGTCTATACAACCACGTCCAGGTCGAAAACCAGCCTGGTTTTCTCGAGTCTGCTCTTCACGAGCTTTAGTTAAGCGTCGAAGTATTACTGAGGCCAATATTTTAGATACTATATTAGTTAGACTTATTCCCCTGTGATTGTCACAAGAAGACTTCTGTCCTTTCTTATAGATTAGGACAATAACTGATTGAGACCAGTCGGATGGGATTACGTCCATTTCCCAGATTCTACCTAAGATCTCGGTCAACCTAGTTGCTAAAACTGGACCACCATCCTTAAATATCTCAGGGGTCAGTCTATCAAGACCCGCAGCTCGCCCTCGCTTCAGATTTCCTAACGCTTTTTCAACTTCATTAAGACTAGGGGGACTTAGGTCGATTTGCCATTCAGGATGACTGGAGATCGTGGGTAACCGAAGAGTGGCTCGAGGCCAGTTGAACTGATCCCTAAAGTGTTCTGCCCATCGATCCAGTCTCCTGGGTTGAGAATAAATAATAGTCCCGTCAATTTCTGAGATAGTCTCACTTACACTAGGATTCCTAATACCAGTTTCCTTGATAAGTCGGAAAAGTTGTCTAGTGTTGCCGATCGCCGCTGCCTTTTCCATCGCTTTTGCTTTCGCCACCCACCACTGTTCGCGATCGTTACGTAGGCTTTTTATATGTCTGCGCCTAAGTTGACTTCGTTCTTCATCATGTTCAGAGCTAGGTGGGATGAGTTTTCGGGCATCCATCAGATCGGTGGATGCTACTGAGATCCACGGCCTCATTCTAGCCTTATGGTCAACCTTACTAGCAGATATCACTGCTGTTTCCACAGCCTTTTCGATATCATTCCAACCTGCCTCCGGATGGGAATCGCTTAAATGGTCGCCTAACTGTCTTTCTAGTTGCTCCTGAAATATATTTTTCGCCTTATTATCATTAAGTAAAACCCTAAGAGGCTTTCTTTCAGTGTCTTTCCTACGCCCAGTAAGCTTCAAACAAATACGCGCTCGCACTAGGGCATGATCTGAATCTAGACATGTGCTCCGGAACGAGCGACAGTCCTCTATCGAACCCCTCCATCGGTGGCTGATGGCGATGTGATCTAGTTGAGTCCAACGTTGAGACGACTTCGGGGGTCGCCAGGTCAACAGATGCTTTTCCTTATGTCTAAAGTTAGTGTTTGCTAAGAATGGGCGGTTGTCTGAGCATAGTTGCAACAGACGGTCACCATTGTCTGTTCTCTGAGCCGCGACACCATAACATCCACCTAGATGTCTTTCATGCTCACTTAGTCTACCTACTTGAGCATTAAAGTCACCAGCCATTAATACTATATCAGAGCGCCTAGCTTTTTGGAGGAGGTCCGAAAGCTTTCTGTAAAACTCATCCTTAACCTCGTCTGAACTGCCGTCAGTGGGGGCATAGGCAGTTACGATGAAGAGGCAACGGCGAGTGTCCCTATCTTTCCGAGTCCTTACTGTCCCGTTTAGTCGGACAGCGCACAAGCGACTATCTACTGGGATCCAGGCTAGGAGAGATAGTTCTGCCCTAGGACTCAATGCTATACCTACACCAGCGAGACTCCGGGATGCAGCATCAGGTCTTCCAGATACACGAAGAGTAAATCGAGCTGCTTCTTTATTTTGACAAGAAGAACTCAAATTAATAATTTTACTAGGATCATGTATGCGCGTTTCCGAGACGCAGCATACATCGATGGCACGAGATTCTAAAGTCCTCGCTAAGGAAGCCTGTTGCCCTATTCGACACAATGTCCGTACATTAAATGCTCCAACATGTGGTCTAGGACGGGGTTTCAAGAGACCAGGAATGACGTTTCGCGAACTCGTGTCGTCTGCATTAGCTGTGCACTGTGATAAATGAATGTGAGAGGAGTTAGTCGTGGAGATAAGAGAGAGGTACTAGGGGGTGTAGGAAGGATTTGATTTTGACCAATTTGGTCTCGTGTGCTGTTATGGGTATGAGGGCGGTTGTCGCCTCCCGGCTGCCCACACCGTGGACGGTTGTTTCTTGAGGAACCTGAAAAGGAGAATAGATTAGTGTTGGTATTAGAGACCTGGGTGCGTGACCACAGAGCCCAAGGGACAACTGCTTGAGGCCGGTCACGCACGGCCTTTTTACGAGTTTTTTGAGTACTAGATCCACTCTTTTTAAAGCCGTTATTGGGCAACCCATGCCTCCGGATACGGAAATCCGTGAGGTAAGGTAAGTTGTGACATTCTTAGGGTTGACCTTTTCTAACCCCTTCCTTCCTTGTGAGAAGGCAGCATCGCTGCAGATGCTGGTTGTCCGAGGGAAACACCTTACTGCTGTCACACCCGTCTGCAGTCAGCAGTACGACTTCGCCCTCAGACCTTGAGTAGCTGCTTTTAGTTTCATCGTTCTCCAATCGACCTGCCTGGCATGGTAGAACCTTGAGGAACATATGTTCCAGCCAGTATAGCTCGATTGGGTCATCACGATAGGCGAGCGCGACCACCACGTCAAGGTAGCAGCTACGGTCGGGAAGAGCTAATAAGGATACCTTTTTGTCAGCTTCAAAGAGATCACATTGTTTTCCGACTTATCTGACTTTGGTTTAACTTACTAATACCACTTGATGATAATTATTGTTGCGTGATAAGATTTAATACAAGGGACACACTAAGTCTGTGCTTCATATATATATATATATATATATATATATATATATATATACCTATGAGTTAAACATACATCAACACGAAGTCCTGTGACAGATGTGTGCTGACCCAAGTTGCCGTACCAGATTAACATTACAAGATTAAAACAATAACAAAAGCGATGGAAATAATGTAACACAAAAATAAAAACTTTCCTTGAAAATATGGTTTAAAAAAGGCTGAGTAGAAAAGGGTTCTAAAATTCAAGGTGGAGAGAAAGATAGGTTGAGTGCATTTGCACCATTGTGAACGATTTTCTCACCAAAAGTCTCCAAACGATCTACCGCATTTGCCAGGCACTTCATGTCTAACATTGCTTACTCCGTTGTTTAATGGAACCTTAACAATGATTCGAAGATGGCTATAATATATTTATATATTAGGGTAAATGTAAGGTTTTAGTTAGTGTGTAACTGATTAAGTCATTACTTTGTATATAATTAGTTCTGTAACTGACAGTCTTGTTGCTAGATTCTTCTGAATTGTATAGGGGATTATATTATCTGAGTAATCGGTTAGATTATTCAGTTTCCATAAAAATATATGTGTTCATTTTAACTTTAGTTTTAGCACCTCCAAAAGATGCAGCTTTACCATATGATCTTCGAACGAAATTACCAACCTATGGAACTCAGTACAGTCCTCCTTCTTCCACTTGGTTATCTTCGAATTCAGGACTTTCATCAACTCCTACCGTAGAAAAATACAAAAACCGTCCGAATGGAGATTCATCGGGAGTTGGTGGAGTTGATATTGAACCTAATGAACGTGCATTGTTAGGTAGATTCTTGACTCGCATACATAAACTTGATCCTGATTTAATTATTGGACATGATTTATGGGGACATCAGATTGAATTGCTAATTCAAAGATTGAATGCTAATAAAGTTCCTCATTGGCACCGAGTAGGACGTTTACGACGTTCTGCTAACTTCCAAATAAATTTAAACAGTCGGGTTAGTCTTCATTTGTTTCATTCATTTGATCATTATTTCATCTTCTGTAATTTTTTAACAAGTTATTAATTAAAATTGTTTAGTATAATTGTTTATGGCACTTGAGTATAGAAGTTTAAGTTACTTCACCTCATTCGTGCTTGGATTAAAAAAGCAATTAAAATCTTGACTTAAACTTATTCCTTGCTACTTTGAACTGCTCTATGCTGTCTATTTTTTTGAAGACATATGTGCATTCCAGTCAATCAAGTTCTCCATACTTAAAGATTTAGAACAGTCTGGCTCATATTAATCTGTCTTGATCTTTATGGGCTAACAATTTTAGAATAATTAATTGTTCTCTATCATATGCTTTTTGGTTCATTTTAGTCTTGGCTTATTCGTCATTCTATACCTGGTCGTCTTGTTTGTGACACTAAAGTATCTGCTCGTGAATTGGTTCGATCAAGAACATATAATCTTTCTGATTTAGCCAGTCAAGTTTTAGGAGAGGTTACTTCTAAGAAAGACGGCAAATCCTCGCAAGGCAGTTTACTTCCAAAACGTCAAATTCCACCCATCCTAATCAGTCGACTGAATGGAAACACTACATCTGTTCGTGATAATGACCTTTCAGTTATGGGTTTTGGTGCAGAATTAGCAGACATGGAAATAGATTCTGCTGATTTGCGATGTTTGTTCTCTAATTCAGACTTGGTTCGTCAACTCATTGATTTTTGTCTTTCTGATGCACACCTCGTTCTTAGATTGTGCCATCAGTTACAGGTTAGTGATTCTCGACTATTCAACGCCCATATTTTTATATCATGATAAGCATCATTTTAGTATTGAGTAATTTTTTCATTTCTCTATAAGAAAAAAGTCGAACACGAACTGATGTACTACTTTAAAGCTTCACACTATTACTATCATCGAGACTAAAAGCAGCTACTCTTGGTCTGAGGGTGAAGTCGTACTAATGATTGTAAAGGGGTGTGACAGCAGTAAGGTGTTTCCTTTGGACAACCAGCATCTACAGTGATTCTGCCTTCTCACAAGGAAGGAAGGGGTTAGAAAACTTCGACCTTATAAATGTCACACCTCAGCCTACCTCACGGATTTCCGCCTCGGCGGTAAGGGTTGCCAACTAAAGGCTTTTAAGAGCAGAGCTAACAATCGAAAAACCTTTCATAAAAAGGCCGTGCGTGACCGGCCTCAAGCAGTTGTCCCTTAGGCTCTACGGTCACGCACCCAGGTCTCTAATACCAACACTAATCTATTCTCCTTTTCAGGTCCCTGAAGAAAAACCCTTCCACAGTGTGGACAGCCGGGAGGTGACAACCGCCCTCATACCCGTAACAGCACACGAGACCGAATTGGCGACAATAAAATGCTTTCTACACCCCCTAACATCTCTCCTATTTGCATGACTCACCCTTCTCGTATTCCTTTATCACCCTGCACCGCTAATGAAAACGATTCGAGTTCGCGAAACGTCATTCCTGGTCTCTTGAAACCCCGTTCTAGACCACATGTTGGAGCATTTAATGTACGGACATTGTGTCAAATAGGGCAACAGGCTTCCTTAGCTAGGACTTTAGAATCTCGTGCCATCGATGTATGCTGCGTCTCGGAAACGCGCATACATGATCCTAGTAAAATTATTAATTTGAGTTCTTCTTGTCAAAATAAAGAAGCAGCTCGATTTACTCTTCGTGTATCTGGAAGACCTGATGCTGCATCCCGGAGTCTCGCTGGTGTAGGTATAGCATTGAGTCCTAGGGCAGAACTATCTCTCCTAGCCTGGATCCCAGTAGATAGTCGCTTGTGCGCTGTCCGACTAAACGGGACAGTAAGGACTCGGAAAGATAGGGACACTCGCCGTTGCCTCTTCATCGTAACTGCCTATGCCCCCACTGACGGCAGTTCAGACGAGGTTAAGGATGAGTTTTACAGAAAGCTTTCGGACCTCCTCCAAAAAGCTAGGCGCTCTGATATAGTTTTAATGGCTGGTGACTTTAATGCTCAAGTAGGTAGACTAAGTGAGCATGAAGGACACCTAGGTGGATGTTATGGTGTCGCGGCTCAGAGAACAGACAATGGTGACCGTCTGTTGCAACTATGCTCAGACAACCGCCCATTCTTAGCAAACACTAACTTTAGGCATAAGGAAAAGCATCTGTTGACCTGGCGACCCCCGAAGTCGTCTCAACGTTGGACTCAACTAGATCACATCGCCATCAGCCACCGATGGAGGGGTTCGACAGAGGACTGTCGCTCGTTCTGGGGCACATGTTTAGATTCAGATCATGCTTTGTTGCAAGCGCGTATTTGTTTGAGACTTAATGGACTTAGGAAAGACAGCGCAAGGAAACATGTTGATAGCAAAGCAAAAAATATATTTCAGGAACCACTAGAAAAACAGTTAGGCAGCCATGTAGAAAGTGATGCCCACCCTGAGGCAGCTTTGTGAAACGAGGTAGAGCAGCGGGTCCTGAGATTTTTAAGGATGGTGGTCCAGTTTTAGCAGTTAGATTGACTGAGATCTTAGGTAGAATTTGGTGTGATCCCATCCAACTGATTTTAATCCTTGATTGTCTCAATTTCTAAGAAAGGACATAAGTCCTCTTGTGACAATCAAAGAAGAATCAGTTTAACTAACTCGTGAAGAGCAGACTAGAGAAAATTAGGGCTGTCCTAGTTCTGGACGTGGATGTATAAACCACATTTTCACCACACCACGCACACATACATTTAGGCTTCTGACAATAGTTGTCTTCTTGAACATAAAGGCGGCATTTGGCTCTGGGGATCGTGAGGTTCTGTGGCAGTGTCTGTCATTGAAAGGTAGATCACGGAAGTACGTTACCTTATACAAGCTCTCTACCTGAACACCACTGATCGAGTGAGAGCCTATGGAGAACTGTCATCGGAATTCTTTACTTCAAGTGGTGTCCGCTAGGGATGTCCACTTTCCCCATTCTTGTTTAATTTTTGTCGTAGACATGCTGCTAGATATAACGTTATCTTCATCCGACTTTTCAGGAATCGAATTTCTACCAGGAAAATTGCTTGCTGACTTAGAATATGCCGATGACATAGTTCTACTTGGTGAAGACGCTGACAAAGTGCAGAGTCTTCTGACTACCCTAAGCAACAATGCAAGCATGTTTGGGATGCGGTTCTCCCCCTCGAAATGCAAAATGTTGCTTCAAGATTGGGTTTCATCGGCACCTGAACTAGTGATAGGGAGTGAAGTAGTTGAGTGTGTTGACTACTTCAATTATCTGGGGAGTCTCATCAGTGCTGATGGCCTGGTGTGTGTTGAAATTATTTCCTTTTCGAAATTTTTACAATAATTTTCATAAAATGGTTTGGAAATCTATTAGTACAACCTTTTTCTTTTAGATTTTACCTCTTGCAATGCAGATTACCTCTATTTGTGGTAACGTACTTAGTCGCACTTTGTCAGGTGGTCGTGCGGAGCGTAACGAGGCTTTACTTCTTCACGCCTTCACTCAGCATGGATACATTGTTCCAGATCCACCGGTATCTCATCGTGGTGCTCCTAATACTCGTCACGATGAATGGGATGGTATTCAAGAGCAAGCAGTTGAAGAAGTGGGAACTGGACGTAGGAAGCCGGCCTATACTGGTGGATTAGTACTTGAACCAAAGAAAGGTAGTTGGTGTTTTAATTCTAGATGGTTATGTGTTTCATCACAATCGCAATTTCCATTGACTTTCACTTTTTGTACTGATTACCCTCGAAATTATTTTAGATAAGGGAAGTTTACTTGACTGTTTTGAACCTTTTACATCTTTGCTTCTTTTAGTGGATTACAATGGACGTTTGTCAATTTGAGCTGTTCGGGACAGCAACACTAACTAATCCGTAGATCAATCAGAGTTAAACATTAACACCGCTGGATGCCGGCCCAGTGGTCCGATGGTTAGGCGTTCGCATACAATACCGAAGGTCCTGGGTTCGAATCCTGCGGGGTGCAGGAGTCGTGGATGCGCACTACTGATGAGTCCCATACCAGGACGAAATGGCCGTCCAGTGCTTCCAGGTTTCTAATGGTGGTCTGACATTGATAGATTCACGATTTCAAATGTGTAACTTAACAATCTTCACAACCCCGTAATGCTTTTAGTAAATCTCAGGTTATTTTCATTTTAATCTATGTACCGTTAAATTATTTCTGTGGTTCGTTGTCTCGCCCTACCAAGCACTATGTTCAGCTTAAAATAATGTTTTTTCATACTCATAAAAATATCTTTAGTTCTGCCTGATTATATCTCGTAAATTTAGGTGTTTTTTTTAAAAAAAGAATTCATTACTTTGTCTTCCGACTGCCGAGATTTACTGTTGCGGTGATCTAATTTGTCCGTGAAATCTCTTCTTCATAACTACTGGGCGTATTTCATTCTTGGTTATTTCATAGCTTCAATTATCGTATAATACAACTGACCTGTTTGTTATATTTCCTAGTAAACAAATATTTACTTTTTATATTGATCTAATATTAATTGCTATACAATAAAAATTAAAAAAAACTTTGTTTTTTCAAATGGTACATGTTTTACTTTCCACTTACGGTTGCTTTTTGCCTATTTTCTTAACGCATCAATTTTTTTCTCTCAAAAAAGGATTTTATGACAAATACATTCTACTTCTGGATTTCAACTCTTTATATCCATCTATTATACAAGAATTCAATATTTGCTTTACTACTGTTGACCGTGATCTTGTAGTGACTAATTCATCTGATAAAGAGGTATGTTCAAATTCAGTATTCGTTTTCTATTAAGTAAGTTGTTCAATGCTTCGACTTTTTTCAAAACAAAGTTTGGTAATCTGGATGTTTGTAATATGATTCGTTCTGTTTTAAGCTTTGAGATTTGCATCGTTTGATGAATCGTTACGAAGTGTATATTTGTAACATTATCTTGTGAACAAAATGCACTGTGAACTGGTTATTTTAAGAAAATTTCCACCTTGAATGTATAAACAAAGTGCTCTTTATGCTGGATTTCATCCTTACTTTCACACTGAATTTGTAATGCTTTTTTTTAGGACATAAATGTCTGACAAGATACTTTTGTCCCTTGGTGGTGACCAGCCTAAAGTTTTTATATTTCCGTTTTTATCTAACGATTAATATCAATAGAACTTTTTCCCTAAACAATTCATAAGTAGTTCAGTAATTTTTAAATATTACACGATTAAGCTGTTAATTCTGTTATGTATTGTTATTATTATAAACACTTAGTGAATATAGCAGTGTTAATGTTGATAATTCTTATTTACATTATTTGGCATCTATTATGGGATATTAACTGACTTTTATTTCATGTGTATTATCGTCGTTAGTCAATTAAATGCATACCTCGTCGAACTATATTTTGTGGTGTAAGAGTAGGTTAGGCGAAAGCTAGGGGCGGTCAGACCAAAACATTTCAGAAATTCATGAAGTCACTGACAAGTGGACTGAGTCATGTTGGTCGATGTAGGCTACCTGGGTGGGGTCCGCGAGATGATCATAAGCGATGGTTAGAGACCCTGAATGACATGGCTCAAAACCGTTTGCAATGGCGCCGGTCCATTCATTCTTTGTGTTCTCTCAAATCCTGAACTTTTTAATTCTTCATCACTTTATATTTATCTTTCTATTTCACTAGATTCTACTTCTTGAATAATGTTTTCTAATCCTAACCTCTCCGACTACTGCTAATACCTCTACTACTATTGGATTTGAATTGACAATTACATCTCTGTGCTAATGTGGTATGGCAACATGAACTGATGTACGTACGTACGTACGAAGTTCTACGTCGCTATTGATTGGTTGATTGCTTTTAAACAATTTCTCATCCTAAAATTCTTTTTTAGTTATCATATTTACTATTGAAATCATTGGATATTATTGGCTTGTTTGTATTTTTTATGTATGCTTATTTGATCAAGATAATTCACTATGATCTCATAAATTACTAGATATATATTCTTATTTTAGCATATTTTCAGTTGCTAAATAAATTCTCATACGCATTGATTTTTATAGCCTTTAAATCTGGATACCATGGTCACCACTCTATTAGCTACTATTCATGGTGATTCGAATGCCATATCTCTCGCCAAATCTGATGACAAAAAAATTCGGCTTCCAGTAGATCAAGATCCTGGTTTATTACCGGCAGAAATTAGACGTTTAGTTGAATCACGCAAAGAAGTGAAAAAGTTATTGGCAAATACATCATCTGGTGATGCTGCACAACGTGCACAATGGAATACTAGACAAGCTGCACTAAAATTAACCGCTAATAGTGTTTATGGTTGTTTAGGGTTTGCTGCTTCTCGATTTTGTGCTCGAGGTTTAGCTGCTTTAGTTACTGGTTTAGGACGTGCTGTGTTGATGAACACTAGAGACCTAGTGGAGAATATGAACTTGGAAGTAAGTTGACTACTCTTCTTATTATTTTATGAATTAATATCGGTTACAATCAGTTTTTTACATGCTTATCGCTTTTCTAATATTTTGGAGTTTAAGTGCATATTCAGTTAATTGTTTTATACAGACTATGAATCTCCTTATTGCTATATCACTTCATGCTCATCGCTAGAACTGACACCCAGTATGTTTGGAGGTGACAGCTAACTGGACTAATAATTCTCAATGGATAGCGAAATTGTTTTTCAGTACTACAAAAGACCCAATACACCCCAATTTTCCTCATTTCATTATCCCATTCCTTCAAAAAACCACGTAGATGAATATATGATTTGTCAGTACTATGATAAATTACCAAATATTCTAGTATTCTCTTAGTTTTAATACACATTTTTATAATTTTTCATGTGCGCATTTCAATACCTGTCTGTTGTTTTTCTGCGAACCGTTCTTATGTATTTTTCTATGAATAAAGTTTTTATTTTACTGGGAATCGTTTAAATTTGTTTTTCTAACAAGGTTATTTACGGTGATACCGATTCGATTATGGTTAATACTAATACAACAGATTTATTAGCTGCATTAGCTATCGGTGAGAAAGTACGCCAAGAAGTCAATAAACACTATCGTCTCTTAGAGCTTGACACAGATGGTGTTTATGCTGCTATGTTGCTTTTAGCCAAAAAGAAATATGCAGCCTTATCAATTATAAATCCTGTTCAATGGGCTACAGCAACAAAAATATCAATTAGTCAAGGATTACCACCACAAGCTGTTTCTACAAAACAGGAAATGAAAGGATTGGATATTGTTCGACGTGATTGGTCTGCACTCGCTGTATCTGTTGGTCGACGATGTGTGGCTGCTTTATTGTCCGGTGAACCAAAAGATGTTATATTAGATCGTATACATGCTGATTTGACTGATACAGCTCAAAAAGTGCGTCAAGGAAACTTACCTGTTTCAGAATTTATTATAACCAAAGTAAGTTTGTTTGAAGTTGATAAATTTCTTAGATTGTCCTACCTTATATGGCCTATTAAGTAAATTATTTCCTCGTCTACGTAGGATCATTTTGCATTCAGTTGACTTATCTACCATAACTTTAGTGATATCAATTGTTAATCTTTACAGAAATCTATATGCATACATAATTATTTGCAACATTAAGTCTTGTTCAAACATTCCCTTGATTCATTTCTCGTTTGAAACATTACAGATGCTAACTAAAAATCCAGAGGACTATTCTGATGTGAAAAGTCAGCCTCATGTACAAGTAGCTTTACGTCTCAATGGTTCTACTGCAGATGATAAGAAAAGTGGTACACGTCGATTTCGTGCAGGAGATACTGTCGAGTATGTAATATGCGAAGATGGTTCCGGACAACTTGCTACACATCGTGGTTACAGTCCAACAGAGCTTACCAATAGTTTGTATAAAGCATCTGACGGTATGTAATGTTCAAAAACATCTATTCTACTTTTGATTAATATTAATATTGTTTTTAATATACATTACTCGAAAAGAAAGTAATATGATAATCTTCTGCTTACATCTTTAAATGTTCTAATGAACTTTAGGGCTAATTTTGTTCATTGACTTAGGAAATATTACTCTAATATTATTGGTTAGCCTTTTTTTATCAGTGTTAAATAGCATTTGAAAGAAAAAGATTCTAAAACCTAATCTCGTTATAAACTATGTCAATGTACACTCTATATTCAATATTCAACGCTCTCCGTTGAAGGCACTCAAATAAGTTCCTGAAGTATAGCGCAAAGTTCATGTTCACATATCTGTGTTTTATACTATGATGGGAATTTTTTCAGGATTACAGAATAGCTATTGTGGGTTTTCTGAATCAATTTTGGTAAATTGTGTTGTATTGTTAACTTTGTTGTTGTTATTGTCTTCGTCTTCATTTTTCTCTTCTAGATTCAGAATCATCTACAAAAAGAAGTCTTTCAATCGATGTGAATTATTACTTGGCTCATCAAATCCATCCTGTTGTTAGTCGACTAGTTGCACCTATTGAAGGTACTTCTCCTGCTCGTATTGCTGATTGCTTAGGACTTGATCCATCAGGTTATCGTCGTTCTAACATAACTACTGTTGGAGATGATGATGATGAGAATGTAAGTTTCTATCTTACTTTTTTCATAAATTTATCTTTATCTTTCTGGTAACCTAATAATTTGTTTGGTTTTTTGTTCTCTCTCTCTCTTCAGAATCCAGATGGTGGTTTTTCCTCTGGATTCTCTAATTTTACTAATTGTGGAGATGTTGAACCTTTCTACATCAAATGTCCACGAAATTGTGATGGTCCTCCAATTGAAATTAAAACATCAGCTTTTAGTGTGGTTGGTAAAAGTTGGTTTGTAAGTTTTTATTCTGATTTATTTTTCATTGTTGTGTATTATTTTTTCGCAGTTTAACTCTACATAGCCAGGTATTATTATCGTCCTATAGTTCTGATGCTTACATATGTATTTGTCGTAGTTTAGTCAGTGAAGTTGAGACGGACTTTTCGGAACATAACTGGACATCATAGTAAGAGGGAGAAGATACAAAATAGGTTATTAAAACTAATTCAGATTCATGCATATTGGTTTTCATGCTTCTTTCAAATTTTCTAAAGCCAACGAAAATGTATGAAACTATTTTTTTTTTTAAATTTTAGTGTCCTACATGTTCGCATAACTTATTGCTTTCACAAGATTCTGCTCGCCTCGTTACTAATCGCCTAGTTTTCGAGGCACGTCGCTTCATTGTCCGCTATCAGCTGGGCTGGATGACTTGTGAAGATCCTGCTTGTGCTGTAGTCACACGCTCTTTGCATTGTCCTCCAAGTTCTGGTCATCATAATGTTGGTGAATCTGACAGTCTTTGGGCCCGCGGTGGACGTCCTCTTTGTGGAGTATGTGGTGGTCAGGCAGTACTCAAGTCCAATTACTCTGAGGCAAAGCTTTATAAGCAGTTGTGCTTCTTCAGATATTTGGTAACTCCACCCAACATGAAGAATTCTGGAAGTAATACTGATATGGAAAGTTAGTTCTTTCTGAGTTTCTTAAAATGAATTTCTTGTATTCCTATGATTGATTCCGATTTGCATTATTGTATTAATATCGGATAGTGTCATCTCGAAGATAATAACAAAACTAATATGTTTTCGTGATATCCTAATGAGTAGAAATTTATATTTCTGACATCTCGTGACTTATGTATACGTTATTTCATCAGAGTAAATAAATAAATAGCCGAAATTAATAAACACCATTTTAAATAGTATAAGGGAAACAAAGTGGAAAAATTTTACTAGCAGTCAAAATCATAATATGTCTGAACATGTGAATGTTGTTATTGCTACTTTCTCATACAGAATTACCTTAATCAAATATAACATGACATTGTTATGTTGAGACCGACTGTAATTTTAATTGTTTTGTTTTGTTCATACTTTTTAAATTTGTGTTAATTTATTTGGGGTTATTTTTTTATTTATTCTAATGAAGTGATTTACTTTAAGTCGTGAGACATAAGAAATACAACTTTCTACCCGTTTGAACATCGCGAAAAGTATTACTAACTTTCTACCTGATGCTCAATAAATTTTCTGCTATCAAGTCTAACTTTGGTATTGATATCAGCTATTTTTGTATGTAAGGCCAAAATGTAATTTATCATAGAGGGACGTCATTAGTTCAAGTCGTCAGACATTGCATCAACACAGAGAAAAAGAAAATTTACAAAATACTAAGTGTACTGGAAAGAATTAATTTCAACTGCAACATTCCATTTCATGTGACAAAATAGCATACATAAATAAACAAGAAATTAACTACCTAAGTGTTTGATTTACAGAATTAGTTATTCCCAGGTTTTCGACATAAAAACTACTCTTACTTTCTATTTCTTGGCTTTCAACTAATAGAAAGATCTATCTAGTTCAGTAAAATGCTAAACCAAAGTCTAGGATGAGTTTTTATTGTAACTGTTAATGAGGTCATCCATCAATTAAATATGTTCCCATACTAAAAATTATGTTGATAATGTCTAATGCTTGTAAATTCATAAAAATCACCAATAAGTGCTTTAAAAACACTGCCGTTTTCGTGTGAATTATCTTTGGTCTCGAATAGTGAGATAATTCCCACTAAACATCCTTTTAATTTTGTCTGGAACTCTGCCTTTTATAAGTATTTACTGACTCTTCTGGTATGTCTTACGTTTTGCTTATACTTTATTGGATTGGATGGATTTTGTAATACGTTTCGAGTCTTTACTCAGATTTAAATACATGAACAATGGTACAAAGAGAGACTTAAACAATTACACATGTGAGCTAGTATACTATCTGGGTGCCAAAATCAAAGCAGATGGTTTTCTTAGGGGGTGGTCATCCGAACATTTTGACCCAGACGCCTAGTCCTCAAGACACTGGAACGACGTTAGAAGATGCGGTCCCCACGTTGGCCGGTGACGAACAATGGGTTTGTGCGCCATTTAGTCCCACAGGGTCCTGGAACCCATTTACTCCATTAATTTTGTATCAGGGTTTTTAAACTCTCTTAGGTGGATTCTCTGTTACTAGCAACCCGGTCTAAGCACCGAACATTCGTTTTTCATCCTCTCAACTTAGTAAGACAGTATCCCCGCCGCGAGAAGGCAATAAGCAGAACTCCTCTGGCAGTGGATACACATGATTAGCCATGTAAGCGTTATAGAGGGAGAACGGACTCTTCGATAGTACTAGGGCATTTGATGCCACATAATCACAAACATGTTTGCATATATACGTTGATATTATATATATTTGAAAATATTCACATGATATGAAAGTCATTACGAGTTTTTAATTCTCATCGTTCCTTATAAATTTAAACTTGCCTGGTATCTTTTGTCTTTCGTCCAACACACTAGTACACATCAACTGTTGTTGCGTTTTTCTACGTCAGTATTAGTGAATCTATAAACTAATTCTTGAATTGTTTCTTTTCTTAACTTTCTAATAGCTATTCTGCCTCATGCGATTTCCAGCATTCTCTCGCAGTGTCGAATTCATTTTGATCGCCTATTGTCTCATTCTGCATTCGCAATGGTGGATTTAGGTAAACTATTTTCCGGTCTCCGTACAACGTGCACTGGACCTGGGTTCCGCTGAACAATAAGATTACTTTTAACTACTCCTTTCTTATTATTCATTTTCTTACTAATAAATGTAAATATTTATTGTACTAGCAGTTGTTATGTATCCAGTTTAGGTAAATAAACAAATTTAATACCAGATTCCAAACAAACTTATTCATCATTTCTCTATATTTAGCACAAACATTCCATGTATAGCCTCGCCTAAATATTCAGAACGATTGAAATTATCGTTAACACAACGAAAGTAGGCATTATACTGTCATAACTCCCTACTATCTACATTCCTATATACGTTGAGTCACATATTCAGTAAAATAAACGTACGTTAGAATAATCAACAATATCTTAAGAAACTGGGGACGGTCGCCCATTAAATTATATATAGTCAGTATCGTTTACTTTTACCGACCGACGAAATGCACACGACAGTAGGTTCTGTTCTCTGTCAGGTATCGATGCCAGACTAATGTGGTTTGGTGGGGTTGCGGAAACACGTGGATAGCTGGATGCCGACACAGTTCGAGGTGTTCTTCAAGCCACCATCACCAACGTCTGCACACACGGTGAATGTGCACTGCTGACACACACAAAACTGTCTGCCATCAGTACATGTGGACCGACAATGATCACTCGTCGTCATTGGTCGATGTCATGCGGTTTGAGGGTCGGATTAGACTGATTGTTGTAGCTGACATGGAAAGCGACAGTGTGTGAATCTACACACGTATAAATACTTATAGACTGGTGACAAGACGAATGGCAACGCACGCTGTGCGATCGGAAGTATATTTTGACAGATATTTCGGTCGAGTAGTGAAGTAGTGAAGTATGCGTTGATTGATGATAGTGTGGTCAGTGTGTAGACAGTGAGTTGTGTTGGTGTAGGTGTAGTAGTGGAAGTGGTTGTGGTGTTGTTGTTGGTGTTTGTGTTGGTGGATGCGTGTTTGCTTGTTTGTATGGTGTGTTGTTTGTGGTGAATGCAAGTAGCGTATCTGTGGCGTCCCGGTGGCGCAATGGATAGCGCGTCGGACTTCTATTCCGGAGGTTGCGGGTTCGAGTCCCGCCCGGGATGGGCGCTTTTGAAAGACCCTGTACACTCAGTCACATGTGGCGAAACCACACCTCGTGACATGCACACACTGGCAGTTCGGACAGACCAAACACTCCACTCGTGTTGTCAGTGCGACTGAGTGCATCTGATCGGACCACCGGTCCTCAGTAGACAGTCGGTTTGTTGTCTGGCTGTCGGCGGATCGCGTGTGTGTCGCGGACGTTGCGCCACATCTTCTTTGTCACAATCGCGCTCGCATCGTGCTGTGCGACTGAACGATATGTTCGATCGACCGGTGATAGTGTACCAGACTGACGACTTTCCACGACTTGTCGACCGATCAGGAAACACTGCCTACTTATTAAAAACTATTAACAAGAAAACGCAATAAAATATCGGTGGAATAACATCTGTGATCCGCATAATTATCGTCACGTGTGCAATTATCCTTTGTAGTAAGCGAAGATGGTCAAGTTTACGTAATAGGGGTCGGACTAGTGTTGTGCATTCGGGTCATCACCCGATAGAGTTCTCGTCAGCAACTGACGTCAGTAATCATGTAAAAGTTGGCGTTGAGTATGAAGAGTCGGGTTGGAGTTTTGAGTTCGGTTTACAAATCACGGTTTGCGTTTTAATCACGAACTAGCATCAGCGACAGCGCAATGCCTTGCCACCGTTCTGTCCACAAGCTTAAGAATCACAGGGTTGAGATTCACAGTAAGCGTTGTAAAGGCGGGAATATTATCCAACTGCACTAAACACTCCTGACTGTGCGTTGAATCACATCAGGTACTTTCACACACAATCTGCCTTAGGAGCAGGTATGTTTTGTAATTTAGCTTGAGAGCTGTCTTAAATTTCACTTCCGGTTGCGTGATGAACATTTTTGTTGATTTCAAGCATTTCAACAATTTACACTTACTTTTCTATCGTTGTACCTTGAATTTCGCGCAAAATGCATGATGCGTTATTGTAATTGTGATTGTTTAACTGTGGATCGTCAGTATCGTATACTTTTACCGACCGACGAAATGCACACGACAGTGGGTTCTGTTCTCTGTCAGGTATCGATACCAGACTAATGTGGTTTGGTGGGGTTGCGGAAACACGTGGATAGCTGGATGCCGACACAGTTCGAGGTGTTCTTCAAGCCACCATCACCAACGTCTGCACACACGGTGAATGTGCACTGCTGACACACACAAAACTGTCTGCCATCAGTACATGTGGACCGACAATGATCACTCGTCGTCATTGGTCGATGTCATGCGGTTTGAGGGTCGGATTAGACTGATTGTTGTAGCTGACATGGAAAGCGACAGTGTGTGAATCTACACACGTATAAATACTTATAGACTGGTGACAAGACGAATGGCAACGCACGCTGTGCGATCGGAAGTATATTTTGACAGATATTTCGGTCGAGTAGTGAAGTAGTGAAGTATGCGTTGATTGATGATAGTGTGGTCAGTGTGTAGACAGTGAGTTGTGTTGGTGTAGGTGTAGTAGTGGAAGTGGTTGTGGTGTTGTTGTTGGTGTTTGTGTTGGTGGATGCGTGTTTGCTTGTTTGTATGGTGTGTTGTTTGTGGTGAATGCAAGTAGCGTATCTGTGGCGTCCCGGTGGCGCAATGGATAGCGCGTCGGACTTCTATTCCGGAGGTTGCGGGTTCGAGTCCCGCCCGGGATGGGCGCTTTTGAAAGACCCTGTACACTCAGTCACATGTGGCGAAACCACACCTCGTGACATGCACACACTGGCAGTTCGGACAGACCAAACACTCCACTCGTGTTGTCAGTGCGACTGAGTGCATCTGATCGGACCACCGGTCCTCAGTAGACAGTCGGTTTGTTGTCTGGCTGTCGGCGGATCGCGTGTGTGTCGCGGACGTTGCGCCACATCTTCTTTGTCACAATCGCGCTCGCATCGTGCTGTGCGACTGAACGATATGTTCGATCGACCGGTGATAGTGTACCAGACTGACGACTTTCCACGACTTGTCGACCGATCAGGAAACACTGCCTACTTATTAAAAACTATTAACAAGAAAACGCAATAAAATATCGGTGGAATAACATCTGTGATCCGCATAATTATCGTCACGTGTGCAATTATCCTTTGTAGTAAGCGAAGATGGTCAAGTTTACGTAATAGGGGTCGGACTAGTGTTGTGCATTCGGGTTATCACCCGATAGAGTTCTCGTCAGCAACTGACGTCAGTAATCATGTAAAAGTTGGCGTTGAGTATGAAGAGTCGGGTTGGAGTTTTGAGTTCGGTTTACAAATCACGGTTTGCGTTTTAATCACGAACTAGCATCAGCGACAGCGCAATGCCTTGCCACCGTTCTGTCCACAAGCTTAAGAATCACAGGGTTGAGATTCACAGTAAGCGTTGTAAAGGCGGGAATATTATCCAACTGCACTAAACACTCCTGACTGTGCGTTGAATCACATCAGGCACTTTCACACACAATCTGCCTTAGGAGCAGGTATGTTTTGTAATTTAGCTTGAGAGCTGTCTTAAATTTCACTTCTGGTTGCGTGATGAACATTTTTGTTGATTTCAAGCATTTCAACAATTTACACTTACTTTTCTATCGTTGTACCTTGAATTTCGCGCAAAATGCATGATGCGTTATTGTAATTGTGATTGTTTAACTGTGGATCGTCAGTATCGTATACTTTTACCGACCGACGAAATGCACACGACAGTGGGTTCTGTTCTCTGTCAGGTATCGATGCCAGACTAATGTGGTTTGGTGGGGTTGCGGAAACACGTGGATAGCTGGATGCCGACACAGTTCGAGGTGTTCTTCAAGCCACCATCACCAACGTCTGCACACACGGTGAATGTGCACTGCTGACACACACAAAACTGTCTGCCATCAGTACATGTGGACCGACAATGATCACTCGTCGTCATTGGTCGATGTCATGCGGTTTGAGGGTCGGATTAGACTGATTGTTGTAGCTGACATGGAAAGCGACAGTGTGTGAATCTACACACGTATAAATACTTATAGACTGGTGACAAGACGAATGGCAACGCACGCTGTGCGATCGGAAGTATATTTTGACAGATATTTCGGTCGAGTAGTGAAGTAGTGAAGTATGCGTTGATTGATGATAGTGTGGTCAGTGTGTAGACAGTGAGTTGTGTTGGTGTAGGTGTAGTAGTGGAAGTGGTTGTGGTGTTGTTGTTGGTGTTTGTGTTGGTGGATGCGTGTTTGCTTGTTTGTATGGTGTGTTGTTTGTGGTGAATGCAAGTAGCGTATCTGTGGCGTCCCGGTGGCGCAATGGATAGCGCGTCGGACTTCTATTCCGGAGGTTGCGGGTTCGAGTCCCGCCCGGGATGGGCGCTTTTGAAAGACCCTGTACACTCAGTCACGTGTGGCGAAACCACACCTCGTGACATGCACACACTGGCAGTTCGGACAGACCAAACACTCCACTCGTGTTGTCAGTGCGACTGAGTGCATCTGATCGGACCACCGGTCCTCAGTAGACAGTCGGTTTGTTGTCTGGCTGTCGGCGGATCGCGTGTGTATCGCGGACGTTGCGCCACATCTTCTTTGTCACAATCGCGCTCGCATCGTGCTGTGCGACTGAACGATATGTTCGATCGACCGGTGATAGTGTACCAGACTGACGACTTTCCACGACTTGTCGACCGATCAGGAAACACTGCCTACTTATTAAAAACTATTAACAAGAAAACGCAATAAAATATCGGTGGAATAACATCTGTGATCCGCATAATTATCGTCACGTGTGCAATTATCCTTTGTAGTAAGCGAAGATGGTCAAGTTTACGTAATAGGGGTCGGACTAGTGTTGTGCATTCGGGTTATCACCCGATAGAGTTCTCGTCAGCAACTGACGTCAGTAATCATGTAAAAGTTGGCGTTGAGTATGAAGAGTCGGGTTGGAGTTTTGAGTTCGGTTTACAAATCACGGTTTGCGTTTTAATCACGAACTAGCATCAGCGACAGCGCAATGCCTTGCCACCGTTCTGTCCACAAGCTTAAGAATCACAGGGTTGAGATTCACAGTAAGCGTTGTAAAGGCGGGAATATTATCCAACTGCAC